CCCTGCGAGTTTCCAAGACTGTAACTCTTTACGGATGTAGAAAGCTCATCTTTCTCCCCAGGAGCAGCTGGTGGTTTCAAACTGCTGCCCTTTCAGTTACCAGCCCAATGTGTAACCCACGACGCCATCGGGCCTCCTTTTAAAGATGTCTAGCTCATAGCACATAAAGACAGCCAGATGCTCCTTAGAGGCAAGGATGACAGCACTTCATCTCAGGCACTCTGGCTATGTTCTCGGAAAGGAACCATGTCTGGAGAAGGACGTTATGTTTTGAGAAAGTACAGGGCGGAGCAAAAGAGAGGACGTGCCTGCAGTGACATGGACTGACACCGCGGCCGCACCCACCGGCTCACACAGAAGAACAATTGTGAGGACTCGGGACGGGGCTGTCTTCGTTCTGTTGTTTATAGGGCCGCAATGAGTGGGAACCAGCTCGAGGGCACCTAACAACATAGCGTTGTTGTTGTTTTTGCAGGGGGGGCGGGGCGGTAACTGTCTATGGAAGTAGAAAGTCTTGTCTTTCTCCCAAGAAGCAGCTGGTGGTTTCCAACTGCTGACCTTCAGGTGAGCAGCTCAGTGCATAACCTGCTGTACCATCAGGGCTCCCTTATAACGTATATCTTTGGGGAATTTTAAAATGTTTGAGACTAAAGACCCCTCACAATTTTCAGGAAACCATCATTTCCCACCTACCTACCTGGGGAAGGGCGGCCCCGCCATGGGTGAGAAACAAAGAGGCTTTCCACTTGCTCCAACAGGCACGAGAAGAAGGCGAGATCGCAAAAGCATACCCATGGCCGCTGGATCATCTACAGAGCGGCGGTCCCTCCCCTTTGAAAGTGCTGCGTAAAAACTAGAAGCATTCCCCTAGACAGCATCCTCGTGGCAACTCAGGAGAGGGTACCGCTTCGTTCCCAGAGTGACGCTTACTTCTATTATGTTTAAGGGGTCCTGCTCAGCTCACGAGCAGGACCCGCTTCCGTTCTTCTGAAGTGCCGTGTTCACGTGCCTAAGCCCCGCTTATCTCTGGACCCTACCAAACCACACAGGTTCAGAGCTTGCTAGTTCCCCTGTGGACAGAGGCCTAGAACCAAACTTCACAGCCATTATTAGATGAACCAGAGGACCATGAGGCACATTTCCTGACCGGTGACCTGTGGGTTGAAAAGAATCCATCATGAGTGTCACCCCATCGTGAGACAAATAAGGCCATGAGACAGGTAAGTCATTTAGGCCAGCTCTTGGCAGAACCCAAATACATTATTT